GGAGTTATATATAATTCCTGATGGATACAATCAAGTGCCTACTGTACATTTTTCCTTTGTTAATATTTAGTTTAACTCGGAAATGTCACATTATAGAAGTAAAATGCATTGCAAATGCCGCTTCATGTTTACAGCAATATAAAATCCAGCATTTAAAAAAATCTTACAAAAAAAAAGGCAGAGAAAAGGGTGTGTTTTGTGTTTGCTAGGGTTTTCTAGATTGTTGCTAGGTGGTTGCTAAGGTGTTTTAAAAAGTTGGGATCCAATGTACACATTTAGGGGATTTTTCTCACCCGTTTTATCATCCTCCAGGAAAAGTTCATGTCTGATCGCTCGAAGCAATAGCACATCACTTGTGTCTGGAGTTGCACATCGAAGTTTCGTTCTCACTGTAGGTATGTTAGCAACCATCACCAATTAAAACTACATCTGGAAGTTTCATGTGCTCTTGATATTCAGGCTGTAATTTAAATCGCAAGCACATTTATACTAGACACCAAAAGATGATGTCATTCTATCACCATTCGCATGATTTATGATTTATAAGTCTCTCGCTGCACATGTCACAGTGGATCTGATGATTTCAGTAGATTTTCCCAGCTGTTGTCTTAAACCTTTGCCAGTATGAGCAAGTTATGGGCAATAATGAAATTATTATTATTTGCTGAGTAATAACATTTTCATTTTCCCTTTTTATTTATTCATTTATTTACTGTCTCAGATTTGCATTCTTGTTGCAATTCGGAGTGACAGGGCTTCATCTGACCCAAAAGTGCTACATTGTTCTCTTACAAAACAAAACTTTTCCCTTGCATTGTTGTCTGTTCCCATGGGAACTTGGTTGCATGTGAGAAAGGAAGTAATTGGGTCATTTTATAGTTTATATGAGATGGAAAGGGAACCCTTGAAATGATACAGAGGGTTTAGTGCATTGACCACGGCTTTAATTGACTGCTTCCTAAAACAATATCCTAACTTCAGTCTCGGGGAAGAGAATAAGAGAGGAAAGCTGAGAAAAGAGTGCATGAAAAGCTCTCTGATGGCTCCGCCTCCTTTGCCCAAACAAGGGCAGAACAGCCTATGTTAGAGGGATGATATCACCAGCAAGTGGGGCAATGCCGTTTAACACAACATTCACTTTTCACTGCGCTCATGACATGGTTGGAATGTAATGGCTAATGCAGGGAACCGTTCAGTGATGCTTTGAGCAGAGTAACTTCGAAAACATGTCAGGCATGGACCTACCTGGACTCCTTCCCAGCTAGATGGTGAGTTTGAAAAGAGTTTGAAATGAATGCAAATAGGCTGACAGTATTCATTCATGGATTTCTTTGGATATATTATAGTGTCTAACTGCTGTTAAAGCGCATGGTGAGGAAATTAGATCATGGAATAATGAAGGAAATCTGCTGCAAACTCAGTGTCTGGCACTTATTTCGCAAAGGACATGGTCCTTTCGACAGAGAGACTCCCACAGAGCTAGATCAGTGTAAACATTCACCAGCATCATAGACTTTTCTTCAAGTGCCCTTGTTGGCACAGATTCCTCTGTTGTGATGTGCTTGTAGACTTTTTGCCAGGTGGGAACTTATTACTGTTGATGTGCCAAGCTGCCCGTGAGCTGTTTCGATTCTGTGATCATGCAAGCATGAAATGTTCAGTAACAACTGTCGGAGAAAATCACTAAAGCATTCAGACACTGTTCCTTTTCTCATAACGGTCATGCTTGCTTCTGTTCTCTTACTTTCCAATTGTACAGCTTTTTTTGCTGAGTTTTTCATTCACTTTCAAGAAGGCAATATGATGGGTGTGTGTTTATGTGTGTGTGTGTGTGTGTGTATATATATATATATATATATACACACACACACACACACACACACACACACACACCCATCATATTGCCTTCTTGAAAGTGAATGAAAAACTCAGCAAAAAAAGCTGTACAATTGGAAAGTAAGAGAACAGAAGCAAGCATGACCGTTATGAGAAAAGGAACAGTGTCTGAATGCTTTAGTGATTTTCTCCGACAGTTGTTACTGAACATTTCATGCTTGCATGATCACAGAATCGAAACAGCTCACGGGCAGCTTGGCACATCAACAGTAATAAGTTCCCACCTGGCAAAAAGTCTACAAGCACATCACAACAGAGGAATCTGTGCCAACAAGGGCACTTGAAGAAAAGTCTATGATGCTGGTGAATGTTTACACTGATCTAGCTCTGTGGGAGTCTCTCTGTCGAAAGGACCATGTCCTTTGCGAAATAAGTGCCAGACACTGAGTTTGCAGCAGATTTCCTTCATTATTCCATGATCTAATTTCCTCACCATGCGCTTTAACAGCAGTTAGACACTATAATATATCCAAAGAAATCCATGAATGAATACTGTCAGCCTATTTGCATTCATTTCAAACTCTTTTCAAACTCACCATCTAGCTGGGAAGGAGTCCAGGTAGGTCCATGCCTGACATGTTTTCGAAGTTACTCTGCTCAAAGCATCACTGAACGGTTCCCTGCATTAGCCATTACATTCCAACCATGTCATGAGCGCAGTGAAAAGTGAATGTTGTGTTAAACGGCATTGCCCCACTTGCTGGTGATATCATCCCTCTAACATAGGCTGTTCTGCCCTTGTTTGGGCAAAGGAGGCGGAGCCATCAGAGAGCTTTTCATGCACTCTTTTCTCAGCTTTCCTCTCTTATTCTCTTCCCCGAGACTGAAGTTAGGATATTGTTTTAGGAAGCAGTCAATTAAAGCCGTGGTCAATGCACTAAACCCTCTGTATCATTTCAAGGGTTCCCTTTCCATCTCATATAAACTATAAAATGACCCAATTACTTCCTTTCTCACATGCAACCAAGTTCCCATGGGAACAGACAACAATGCAAGGGAAAAGTTTTGTTTTGTAAGAGAACAATGTAGCACTTTTGGGTCAGATGAAGCCCTGTCACTCCGAATTGCAACAAGAATGCAAATCTGAGACAGTAAATAAATGAATAAATAAAAAGGGAAAATGAAAATGTTATTACTCAGCAAATAATAATAATTTCATTATTGCCCATAACTTGCTCATACTGGCAAAGGTTTAAGACAACAGCTGGGAAAATCTACTGAAATCATCAGATCCACTGTGACATGTGCAGCGAGAGACTTATAAATCATAAATCATGCGAATGGTGATAGAATGACATCATCTTTTGGTGTCTAGTATAAATGTGCTTGCGATTTAAATTACAGCCTGAATATCAAGAGCACATGAAACTTCCAGATGTAGTTGTGTGTGTGTGTGTGTGTGTATATATATATATATATATATATATACACACACACACACACACACACACACACACATAATAAAATACCCCATGGTTGACTCTCTCTTTCCTCTCTCTTTGTTGTTTCATATTAACTTTAATGAAAGGGACTGTACAATTTGACCTTTATTTTGAATATGAGTCAATCCATTTGAATCTCTTTCTCTTTGATTTCACCAGACTCAAGAGACTGTTGGAGCAAGAGAAGGCATACCAGGCTCGCAAGGACAAGGATCACAGCAAACATCTTGAGAAAGTTCGGGAGGAGCTGGTTAAGTTGAAATCATTTGCCCTGATGCTGGTGGATGAAAGGCAGCTTCACATTGAACAGATTGACCAGGAAAGACAGAAGATCCAGGATCTCAGCAAGAAGCTACATGAAAAAGAGCAGCAGTTGGAGCTCATCAACAGCAAAGCTAAAGAAGACAGTCAGAGGATCCAAAGGCTGGAGCTCGACCTAGAACATAAGACCTCCAAATCTTCACAGGAACATGAGGAGATGACCGCCAAGCTGGCCAAGCAGGAGTCTGAAAGTCGACAGCTGCGTCTGAAGCTGGCCAGCATTTCACACAGGATTGAGGAGCTGGAGGAGGCCAATCGTACGCTGCAGAAGTCTGAGGAGGACCTTCAGGACCTGCGGGACAAAATAAGCAGAGGGGAGTGCGGGAACTCAAGCCTCATGGCCGAGCTGGAGAACCTTCGGAAGAGAGTTCTGGAAATGGAGGGCAAGGATGAGGAGATCACGAAAACAGAAGCACAGTGCAAGGAGCTAAAGAGGAGGCTTCAGGATGAGGAAAATCACAGCCGTGAGCTGAAACTAGAGGTTGAAAAACTGCAAAAGAGGATGGTGGACCTGGAGAAACTGGAGGGAGCTTTCAATGTGAGCAAATCCGAATGTGCCCAGCTTCACAACAACCTGGAGAAAGAAAGAACCTTGACAAAGAGCTTGGCGTGTGAGCTGGAATCAGTTAAAAACCATATCAAAGAACTTGAGTGCTCAGAGTCGAGGCTGGAAAAGGCTGAGATGGGTTTAAAGGACGACTTGACCAAACTAAAGTCATTCACGGTGATCCTAATGGACGAGAGGAAGAACATGGCAGAACAAATCAAACAGGAAGAGCAGAAAAGTGAGGAGATGAACAAACTGTTTAAAGCTGAGCAATGCAAAGTCATGGAGGTCACAGAAAAACTGATTGAGGAAAGTAAGAAGCTTCTTAAGCTGAAGTCCGAAATGGAGATGAAAGTGTCCACTCTTACCAAGGAGAAAGATGACCTGAAATCTAAACTTGCAAGTGAAGAAGAGAAACGAAAGGATCTCAGTATAAAGTTATGTCAGATGCAAACTAAAATGGATAAGCAAGAGGAAGCTGAGTGGGAATCTTCAAGAAACAGAGATAATGTAGACAAAGTTGGGTATCCCGATGAGGACAACAAGGTTAAAGAGCTCACAATGGAGATTGAGAGACTCAGGAACCGACTTAAACAGCTTGAGGTTGTGGAGGGCGATTTGTTGAAGACAGAGGACGAGTACGACATGCTTGAGAAGAAGTTCAGAACCGAGCAAGACAAAGCCAACGCTCTTTCCCAGCTCCTGGAGGAAATGAAGACGCAGATAACCAAGAACAAGGCCATAGAAAAAGGAGAGTTGGTAAGCCAAGAAGCTGAGCTGAGACTACGCTGCAAGATGGAGGAGGCCAAAACAAGAGATCTTCAGTCCGATGTCCAAGCTCTAAAAGAGAAGATTCATGAGCTCATGAACAAGGAGGATCAACTATCTCAGCTTCAGGTGGACTACACGGTTCTCCAGCAGCGGTTCATCGAAGAGGAGGATGAAAAGAAAAACATGAGTCAAGAAGTTCTCAAACTAACCAAAGAGTTAGAAGCTACAAAGCGTTACAGCCGTGCCCTTAGACCCAGCATGAACGGAAGGAGGATTGTGGACGTTCCTCTCGCTTCCACTGCAGTACAGACCGACGCAGACATGAACGAACACATCGAAGACGAGACTCCAGCTGTGTTCATCCAGAAGTCTGTTCTAGAGGAAAATCACCTCATGAGTAATCTGAGGCAGAAAGGTCTCAAGAAACCGACCGTGTTGGACCGTTACCCGCCGGCGGCTGCAGAGTTGGGGACGAAGAAGTCTTGGAACCCTTGGATGAAGACGAAAGAAGCAGTTACTATCACTCAGGGAGTTCCATCAACCCAGGAGGTCAATGGAATAACATCACGGACATCACCAGAACTAACCATGTCTCAGAAACCCGGTCAGCCTCTTCATATTAAGGTGACTCCAGACCATCAGAGCAGCACTGCCACGTTGGAGATCACCAGTCCACGTGCTGAGGACTTCTTCTCCAGTACCACCATCATCCCAACTCTTGGGCTCCAGAAACCACGCATAACAATCGTTCCTACTTCTATGCTGCCAAAGTCCAAAACCAATGAAGGGCCAGCTGAACGGACAAAGTCTCCAGTCACTATAACGGCCATCTCCAGAGCAAAATCTCCAGAGAAGGGTAAAGGCTTCTACTCGGAGCATCCTGTTTCTCCTCTGTCCATCATAACCGTTAGTGCAACTCCAGTCTCCCAGACATCCATCTCCCCAGAACCCCATGAGATGACCATGGGCAGGGCCGTGTTCAAGTTGACCCCTGAAAAGCAGACGGTTCCAACGCCCATCCGGAAATACAACTCCAATATTATAACCACAGAGGACAACAAGATCCACATCCACCTGGGGTCACCAGGGTTCAAGAAACCTCAGGATGACAGAAGTGGCTCAGTTACGGTTTGGCCTAATGGTATAAGTTCAGACAGCAGAGAGATGCCAACAGGGACAGTTCTGCGCTCTCCCAGACAGACGTCAGCTAATGTTGGGAACATGGTCCAAGGCAAGATGACCAGCAGCATCACAATAACCCCCATCACCTCGGCCCCATCCAGGTCTACTCAATCTGTGGTGAGTACCAGATTCATTGCGTTGTCCCTCTGTTTGGATTTTAGAAGATGCGGAACGTTGTGGTAGAAAAGTGAGTGTGCATATATGCCATCAAATGACAACAGTCATTTAACAGTTAATATTTTGTGATTTTGTCCCTAAAACAAAATTATCATATTCAATCTTTTATATTTCAGTTGCTTCTGAAATGTTTCAAAATGATATCAGGGGGTGTCGGCTCCCTAGATAGCTCTCTTTCAAGGTATCGATCAAATCAAATTCAATCTCCCTATCCATTATTGCTAACTAACACTGGAATGTACTGACGTGCTTGTCACCCAAGAAAGCTTGTCAAGCAAATCCTTTAAACAGTGGCACAAACTGACCAGTCCCCTCACGTTTAACCTGTTATAAAATCGAATAATGTGTGACCAGACCATGGCTATAACCTTCCTATCCTTGCCTATATACCAAAACCTACTAAATCAAGCACCAACTGTAAGGAATAGTTGTCAGCATAATAAAATATTACATTTTACATTTGCAAATATTAAACAGTTTTTAATATTAGGGGAAAAAATGAATGAGTTAAAAAAGAATATAAATTAAAGGCTTTATATATATATATATATATATATATATATAGTTAATTTTGTTTTATTTATTAGTATAAAAAATAAAAATGAATAATGAATAATTGAAAAAAATAATACTTAATACTTACGTAAAGACTTAATAAAATTTCAGGCTAAAATATTTACTTTTGTGAATGGCCACCTTATTAATTTAATTTTATATTAATTTATATATTTATTTTAATTTTATTATATTTCATATTGCTTTTAGATTTTTTTGCATAAATAAATGACAATTTAACCCCTTTATAAACAGGTTAAAAACTTTCCTTTTCAGAAACAGAGAGTTAGCCTGCATAAATGCAAACACAAAATGCACTTACTATGGCAAACACATGGTTAATAAAAAATGAAACACTCTCTAAATGTGATCTCATATTTCCCTTTGCCTTTTTTTCAGCACGGAACGGATGTGCAGTCATCTCGCTCCATGGCAACACGAATCCCCATGTCAAAAGGTATGAAAACCGGGAAAGCGGTCTTGTCCACGACGTCACGCTCTGAGAGCCAGTCTATGAAAATTGAACTGAGGAAATCTGCAGTTTGCAGCTCTGAAGCCGGAGCCGGAGGAAAGAGCTAAGATTGGCTCATGATAATGTGGCACTGAAATTTAATCTAAGCACTACAGAACTGAATGAAATCTGAACAAAAGTGTTGCAATGTAAAACAGAGCAATCATTGGCACTGGGGCCTCCATTTCTAGATTGAGAAACATTATTGCAATATTGTAAATACTGTATGTCAAATCAGCCTTTATGAATTGTACAGACATTTATAACTGGATCTCAGACAGTTGGAATGTGTGCATTTGTGTTTTGTGCTAAAACATTTGAACTAACCCTTCACAATTTCTTTTAGTATTTATTTTTCCATTACCATTTCACTAAGGTTTTATTCTGTAAAACTGCTTGTGGAGGTTTCCAGGGGGGTGGAAATATATTGTATTAAATGCCACTGAATGAATTTTCTGATTCCACTTAATAAATATTTTTCTGTCTTCAGAATACATAGAAACATTTTTTTTTTCATTTTGGGTTTATTGATTATTTATATATTGATATTTGATAGGGAATGCTAGGAAGAAAATGGGGGAAGAAATATTATTTATTATTATGTATTATTATGTTCTGTGTAGAGTATAATGGCATTGAACTAAGGTCAGGAAACCTCCATAAATTGTGAATAACATTTTAAACCATATTGACATTAGTTTAAGCATGTTCAGTGGATAAACTGATATTCATGATTCACCCATTTTGAAGACTAAATATTCTGACAGTGAAGGAATTTGATATTATTCCTAAAATTATTCCAATGCCTTTTGTTTCCTTGCAATTCAGTAACACATTCTGAATCAATTTTGTTCAATGACACTTTTGTTTTGTACGGAACAGTTGATATAAATATTTATAAATACAAGCATCACATTTCTGCTTCTAAACTTTACCAAATGTCTCGCCCCATAGAAGTCCATTACTGTAAACATGGTTTTTACTTATTTGGTTTTAACTGAGGGGAAGGGTCTAAATTATTGGTAAACAACATTATTTTACAGATTTAACCTGCATTGAACCCAGAATATTTCTACAATTAAGGTTTTGACACATTTGTGACTTGTATTGCAAAGGAAAAAAGCTACTAAGCAAGTTTAATGCCCTTCACTTTACTTAGAAATGGTCAGTTCATTTTTTAGCATCTTAAAGGAATTGTTCACCCAAAAATGAAAGCTTGCTGAAAATCTATTCACCTTCAGACCATCCAAGATGTAGAGGAGTTTGTTTCTTCATGAGAACAGATTTGGAGAAATGTAGCATTACTGTACATCACTTGCTCACCAATGGATGCTCTGCAGTGAATGGGTGCCGTCAGGATGAGAGTCCAAACAGCTGATAAAAACATCACAATAATCCACACCACTCCAGTCCATCAATTAATGTCTTGTGAAGCCAAAAGCTGTGCATTTGTAGGAAAAAATCCCATCATTTAGGCATTTTAACTTAAAACCGTTGCTTTATAATCCATATTGCTTCCTTCAGTGAAAAGCCCTGCATCCTCTGTTGTCTCTCACATCAAAATCTATACCCACAAATTTGTTTAGAACCATTTTGGAAGGTTTTTGCTTGTAAACTGTGTTTGATCGTTGCATATTTCTCTCCTGATTCAGCGGACTTTGCTGGAGAAACAATATTATGGATAGAGGACTCGTATTTTAGTTGGAAGCAACAGTTTGAAGATAAAACCGTCTTGATGGATTTGTTTCTTTTAAACATGCAGCTTTTCACTTCATAAAATGTTAATTGATGGACTGGAGTGGTGTGGATTACTTGTGGATTATTGTGATGTTTTTATCAGCTGTTTGGACTCTCATTCTGACGGCACCCATTCACTGCAGAGCATCCATTGGTGAGCAAGTGATGCAATGCTACATTTCTCCAAATCTGATGAAGAAACAAACTCATCTACATCTTGGATGGCCTGCAGGGTGAGTAGATTTTCAGCAAATTTTCAATTTTTAGGTAAGCTACTCCTTTAAGAAATCTCTATGTAGTGTTCTTCTGGTGATGTTACTTTGCGATCTGAGTTTAGTGCTCTATCCAGGCCATCTGGGAGCCAGAGAACGCTGTTATGAGAAATAAGAAACAACAGCTGGAGATCTGGAGTCCCGTTTAACATCCTGATTGTGTCCTTCTGCCTGATACAAACTCGGCAATTACACAAATAAAGACAGGGCTTTTAATTGATCAGTTCAGCATTAAAGGAACGCTTTGCCCAAAAACGAAAATTATGTCATTATTTACTCACCCTCATGCCTTGTGACCTTCTTTCCTCCGTGATGTTTTGCAGAAGGTCCAGAATGATCTTTTTCATCTGAGGCCTGGTGCTGTCAAGCTCCAAAAAGCTCTCAAATCACGTTCAAATGTGCTTTCAATTCGTTTAAACGGCATTACCAACAGAAGAATGAAAGTCAAATGGGTTTGGAACGACATGAGGGTGAGTAAACAAAGACAACGTTTTTATTTTTAGGTGAACTTTAAAGCTTTTGTCTTTCTCATGAGTTCTGTGTGTCACTATGAAGGGCTTTTTAAATCAATTAATACCTTTTTCACCGCCGCTGACAAACTGACTGTTCATTTTCTAATCCATCCATGCGCAATAACAGGCTTTGGCAGCTCGCTGATGACCTCACTCGTGAGATAAAACTCGTTGGATTCAACGGCGCGTTGTGATTCCCAGAAAACGATCGTAAAATTGCTCTGATATTTTCACCATCCATGAACTTGGCTGCTCAAAAGCGCATAACATGAATGTGAAACTGATTCGTTCCATGCAGTAAGCCGTGGGTTTCGGATGATTGCTGTGTTTCCTCAGTAAGCTCACTTTCCCTGTTTTCATCCACAGAGAATGTTGTGCTCCAAGTGAATCGAGAGCCGCGCTGAGGCTGTTTCAAATCCGGTCCATAATACAGTATGCCTGACTGAGAGGTCTACACCCGCCCTGCATCCACATGCACCAATAGAACGAGGGGCGAACCTGTCAAAGCCGGTTCAAGCACAAGGATCTGTAGTAATGCACCATATATATATATATACAGTGGGTACGGAAAGTATTCAGACCCCCTTAAATTTTTCACTCTTTGTTATATTGCAGCCATTTGCTAAAATCATTTAAGTTAATTTTTTTTCCTCATTAATGTATCATCACCTGTCCAATACAGTCCCAACAGTGAAGCATGGTGGTGGCAGCATCATGCTGTGGGGGTGTTTTTCAGTTGCAGGGACAGGACGACTGGTTGCAATCGAGGGAAAGATGAATGCGGCCAAGTACAGGGATATCCTGGGCGAAAACCTTCTCCAGAGTGCTCAGGACCTCAGACTGGAACTAAGGTTTACCTTCCAACAAGACAATGACCCTAAGCACACAGCTAAAATAACGAAGGAGTGGCTTCACAACAACTCTGTGACTGTTCTTGAATGGCCCAGCCAGAGCCCTGACTTAAACCCAATTGAGCATCTCTGGAGAGACCTAAAAATGGCTGTCCACCAACGTTTACCATCCAACCTGACAGAACTGGAGTGGATCTGCAAGAGGGAATGGCAGAGGATCCCCAAATCCATGTGTGAAAAACTTGTTGCATCTTTCCCAATAAGACTCATGGCTGTATTAGATCAAGAGGGTGCTTCTACTAAATACTGAGCATTTTTCAGTTTTTCTTTTTTAATAAATTTGCAAAAATGTCAACAATTCTGTGTTTTTCTGTCAATATGGGGTGCTGTGTGTACATTAATGAGGAAAAAAAATTAACTTAAATGATTTTAGCAAATGGCTGCAATATAACAAAGAGTGAAAAATTTAAGGGGGTCTGAATACTTTCCGTACCCACTCTATATAGATTATACCAGTGATTCAAGACCACAAGACAGTCAGACGGCAGATTGATGAACCCTGGATGCCAGAGAGTCAAGAAAGAGATGCAAATTGTAGAACGTGAAAAGTTGCAGCATGTGAGAAGAAGAGAAACTGACATAGGATGTTTTTTACATGTACTTTGAGAAAAGTCAACAGGAAATCAAAATTGTCCCCATTTACTTTCATGTTGTGTTCAGGTGATTTTGGATTTTCTTTTTCCCTGAAATGCTAGTTAATTTGATCACATTGGACTAAAACTTTCTGACTTTACTCACACAGGGCATAACAACTTCCCAAATTTTTTAAAAATAATTTTTGTACTTTCTTAGGATCCCCTATAAACGTTTTTTAGGACCTTGTTACACTATATGTGTTCAACAAAAAATTCCTTATATATTTCTTGCTATATTATCACCAAATCTTTCTTAACTTGATTCAATCTTTATTAACTTGTTTTCTTTCAATTAGAACAGGTTTTGTATTTCTTTTTGGAACTGACTGATCGTAGGCCTCATTGATCTGACCTCATACACCTGAGTAAAGTTTTTGTGTAAACATTGACAAAATGATCCACATATAGTTCTTTTTTCATTTAAAAATGAGCTCAAATCAGTGAGGCCTATGATCAATCAATCAATACAAAACCTGTTCTAATTGAAAGACCAAAAGAGAAGAGCTGACCGAAAGACTGAATCCGAGATTTGGTGATAATATAAAATAATAAGAGATTTACAAGCAATTTTAAAAGGCCGGTCATTTTTGACCAGGAAAACCAAATTAGGGCTTAAAGGATTTTCAGCACAGCACAAGCGGTAATAGCCTACATGCTCCTGGTCCTATTGCAAATGATTCATAAGTTTGTCATTTGTAATTTTTTTTTTCTTGTTTAATATTCTGTTTCACCTGGAAATGTGTTGCATTATGCATAAATTTGGTTGTGTGAGCAAGTTCATGTTGACTTTAAGCGCTGATCTAACGTTATATTGTTTGATTTGGAAACGACTGGTTAAAGTGTCATACTGCTGAGAGCAGTTTATTGATCAATATTTATCAGTCTCTGCTAGAATTTAATGGTGGCATTGATGTGTTAAAAGAATGAGAGAGGGTCAGTTGGGGAAAAGGTGCATGATGCTGTATGTTTAGTTAAGAATAAAAGTACTCGTCACCGCACAGAATTGTAATCCACAAAGTCCTTATAATCAACAACTGTATTTAATTTAATTTATAGCATATATGACCTCTGCGAATGCAGTATGAGCTCACTGAACTGAAGTGTGTGTCTGTCCTGCATATAAAACGAGAAATTCACCCAAATAAACACATTTATGAAGCTCATGACTTTCTGGTCCACTGGAAGTGTTATAATCTGCACCACAAACTTTTAACGTTTAGGGACAAATACACATTTGCATGGGCATGTAGTGCAATCATGATAGTACAAAGTGGTGTTTTAATGCAATCTTTTAAATTTTATCTATCTATCTATCTATCTATCTATTATATGGTTAATTTGTGGTTACCATGAATTAACTATAGTAACTATGGTGTTGTTTATTATTATTATTATTATTATTATTTTAACCATGGTTAATTTTCT